CACGTCCTTGCAGTAGAACTTATCTGAGCAACTCGTCCGCATCAGGTTTAAAGCATAGGAATAAACTACATGTACTAAAGTTTGGTACTACATACTGTACTGTCGCTTACCTCAGCTATTTTTGACACTCCACGACATGCACTCCGCTGACTGGACTTCAGGGAAGTCTAGGTTTACCTACCCTAAACATTATCTCCAGACCTTATCATACCATCCTTAATTATCATTACCCTTTATACAAGAATATTATTTAGTCTTAATAGGATTTTAAATAGTACATATTAGGGGAAAAAACGATCGCTCAATATTCGACCTCCAAAATTTAAAGGTAAAATCATATGAAACTATCATACTCAGCGACCATAATTACGTATTTTGATTTATTGTGGGTCAGCATTTCTCTCTAGCGACTTCGCCCTTACATAAACTGTCTTCCAGCTGTGATTAGGCCAAAATGCTGGCTTTCAGAAGCTGCCATTAATGTTTTATTTGCTAGCAGCAGGGTAAGTGAGGAAGCTAATAGTGCATTTTTACAGAGTAGCCAACAATCAACTTCATTACGTTATGACTATAACTACTGCTTAAGACAAAAATGCAAACCTCTTTTAACCTCAAAGAACTTTGAATATGTGTTATGCTTATCAAGAATTGCTAATTCTTTCAATCACAAGCAAGAGCGAATGAACTCAGAGGTAAATTTTGTAGGAAGAGATAAGTTCCCACAAAATGATGTAGGGAATTGGATACCCGCAATTAGCCCCCTCCGCAAAGTTCGGCGATTTTATGGTTTTAGACTTTTGGAGGATAAATTTTGAACCCTTATTTCAATCTCGGAACCCTCAGCTAATTGAAATTTCCACTTCTATATATATCTATGATACTTTAGTTATTTACTTAGATACATGGATGGCCTGTCTTAACTTGTCATGCAAGCCCCGTTTCCATCCATTTCTGTCTCTCGCTAGCGTCATCCACGATGGGTACTGAACTGCAACGGCGACGTTCGCAAGGACCAGATCCATTACTCGCCATCAGCTGAGAATTTAGCTGGTCCATCGGTGCAACGAACACGTCAGCCTATCTGGTCAGCAGTCATCCTCGAGAACATTTTGTATTGCGAGGGATCCATTCCAGAGTTCTTGTCCATCTGTCGCCTGTCCTTTTCTTTATATGACCAGCCCATCGATGTTTTGCCTTAGAGAAGTATTCCGTTGGAAGACGAGACATTGATCTCATAACTGAACTGCGAAGTTCGACGAGGTGTTGAGTGCGTTGTACTTAACAGACGTCGTTCCAGCGCTCTATGGGTTGTTCGGAGGGTCTTCGACGTAGCCACAGCGTCAGGCCGCGTCTCTGCTGCCTAACAGAACGCAGGGAGAACAAATGAATCGAACAAGTGGGCACAGAGCTCTGGGTCGTCAGCTGGTATGTGGCTTCCTTTAGGGGCCCGAAG